AAGGGGGGCTAGGGAGGGGTAAGTGGAAGGAGGTGAGGGAGGAATGGGGTAAGCGCCCCCGATGGGGAGGACTGGGCTGGCTCTGCGGGCTTCTCGGGGTGGAAGTTCTCCTGCAGCCCCCCGATTGCCCCCTCCCCTCGGATGGCAGCTTGTGGCAAGTGCAGCCGGGGTGATGGCCGAGTGCTGTGATGTTCCGCGTGTGGGCACTCAGGGCACTCCAAGCCAGGACTGCTTTGCAAGCGGGGAACCCTGAGAACTGTCTGTCCAGGGTGGGGGTCAGGTCCCTTTAAGCACAGCCCTTGGCTAGCCTGAGACAGCATCTCCACGCTCTAAGTCCTCATCTGATGCCCTGCCGGCACTGCTTCCGGCCATCCTTAACCTCTGTTCAGGGTCCACTCTGTGTGGACATGCTAGTTCGAATTAGCAAAACGCTAATTCGAACTAGTTTTTAAGTCTAGCTGCGCTAATTCGAATTAGCTTAGTTTGAATTAACTAATTCGAACTAAGTTAGTTTGAATTAGCGCTGTAGTGTAGACATACCCTATCAGGCACAGATAATAGCATGTAAACATGCTATTATAGGAAATTCATCTGTTGAAGGATTAAGTCTTTTATATAAATAAATCTCTTTGTGCCAGCCCCTCTCTCACAAGGGTAAAACTCACAGGACCCCCCTTAAATCAAAGCCCCACTTTAATCCTTACTATGGGGTTTAACTAGTACAAAGGGCCTTCAATAGGACTACTGTGCTGCAGTGTCTTTCAGCCTTAAGCTATGTCTAGACTGCAGGCTTTTTGTGCAAGAAGCATTTGTTGGGAGAGATCTTCTGCAAAAACGTCTTGTGCAAGAGCGCGTCCACACAGCAAAAGCGCATCGAAAAAGCAATGCGCTTTTGCGAAAGAGAGCGTCCAGACTGCATGGACACTCTCAAAAGTAAGCAGTGATTGCTATGCACAGAATGGCCACCAGGGCACCTGTGCTTTTTCCTCTTTCCTCCTTTTTACGCAAAAAAAACCCTCTTCTCCGTCCACACATGCCTTTTTGTGAAATAACTCTTTCGCAAAAAGGCTTCTTCCTCATAGAAAGGGGAATACCAATTACACAAAAAACCCTCTGTTCTTTTGATTCTCTTGCATAAAAACGCACTTGAGGTATGGACGCGCCATTTTCCCGCAAAAACTCTGTAGTATAGCCATAGCTCAGTGAACACCCCTTAGAGGTAGAGAGTTCAGACAAGTTTCTTGGGAATATCATCACAACCTAGCTAAAGCAGGGAGATGCATTCCCTATGCTACGTTAGGTGGCAGGGAGTGGGGGACTCCGCTCTTGTCAGGGAAATGAAAGGGGAACTGATCATAAACAAGCATGTCTTTAAGCCTGAGCACACATTGTGTTCACACATGGGTAAGTCAAATGTCTTATATTTAATTTTTACACATTGCAGCAATGCACTCAGCAAAACTAGCAAAGCTGCCTCAATCCTCCTGTACTCCTTGTGGTTACACACTGATCTCCACAGTGCCTACAAAAAGGTAAGCCCTGAGCTAGTGCAGACATTGCATCTGCCTGCAGATTCAACTGCTCGGGGAGGGGGGGGGGTTCTTTGTGCAGTTTGTGGTATGTAATGTCCTTTATTTAGAACACGTGTAGAACATCCAATAGGTCTGCCTTGCTGCTAACAAATCCATGGTGTTGATCACACTGGGAAGATTTGTAGTCTTAATTTGGTGTTTGTGTGCTGGTTTCTGCTAGATAACAAGTGCCCTCAAGCTCCCTTGAGTATTCAGATCACCTCTGTTTTGGGCTCCCTGTATACTGCCAGAGTTGATGTGGATGCTATTGCTTGTTGTTGCAATAGTACAGGTGGGGGGTGCTATACATCAGCAGGTGTGTCTGCAGCACCTGGTGAACTAATCTGATATGGAGGGAATAAGATAGCAACCAAAATGGCAGGTGGGGTGCCACCATCTGTTCTGGGCTTTTTTATTTGCTTATTTGAAGCCCGGGTCTTATATTGTGTCCTTTTCTAGGGCTTATCTACACTGAATAGTTTTGTCAATAAAGGTTATGTCAACAAACAGCCAGCCCTTCTGTTAAATTGCTGTTGCATGTCTACACAGTGCTCCTTGTGTGGATATGCTCCAGTGACACTAGCAGCTCTTGCATCGACACAGAGAGCAGTGCATTGTGGTAGCTATCCCATTGGTCGCAGGGTGCTTTGGGAAGGGTTTGGAATGCCTCATGGGGCAGGTCCAGCATTACACTATGCAGTTTTCTCAGTCCCATCATTCCATGGGCATCCTATTAGATTGCCAGTCACTTTTTAACTAAAGCATGCCTTTTGCCAACACAGCTGTGTAGCGTAGACAAGGCCTAGAGAGCTGCACCACTGTAAAGTCACCCAGGTAAACTCGCTACATTGAAGGAAGTCTTCTGTCTGCACAATAAAGCAACCCCAATGAGGGTGGTAGTTATATTGACAGGAGAGCATCTCTTACTGACAGCATTGACCACAGCAGCACTTCCATGGGTGTGACTTCTGTCAATGAAGAGTGTGTTATTTTTCCATATCTTTGAGTGACATATGTTTTACCAGCATAAGAGCCATTGTAGACGTAGCCTTACTCCTATTCAAAGGGAATGGCAGGTGAACAAGAGCTGACCAAATTAAACAACAGGAAGCAGTCAAAACAGAATTGGCCAATACTCTACTCTTGTTTTTCCACTTGTAGCCTCGGCAGTTACTATTTTCAACCCACCAAAGGGGAGCACTTAAATCTCTTGAGTTGCTTGCCTCTTCCCTGTATTTCTTTAAAATGTCCTCATTTCTTCCTGCTGCTTAGAACTTTCGCCTTCTGTAATTCTCAGGAAGTCAAATGAACCCAGCTTTCCAAGATTTATGGCTTTATTATCTAGTGCAGCTCTTGAGAAAAGAGGGAGCTCCCTCATGAAGTAGGGTTTATGAGTCAGAAATGTAATGTAGTTCACTGGGGAGTGGCCAAGCAATCTGATCAAAGATAGCATTCTTCTCTTGCATAGCCTCCGCAACAAGGAGGACTAAGCATTGTAAACCACGCTCCGGATGGTGAGTTTGGCATTCCTCTGCCTCATGAGTTATTGTCTTCAGTGCTGCCCCACAGCCATGGGATGGAAAGGAAACTAGGTCAAGCCAGCACATACCTGTGGATACTCTGGATGAGCTAGCGACTACTCTGTTAAGCTTAGCCCAGGGTCTATGATCAAGTGGAGAAGAAGGCCAGTGCAGCAAAGAACTCCTGAATATACTTAGAATATTAGATTTTCTTTCTCACTGATGCTTCCAAAAGCTATAAGACTGTAGTTTTTTTGTGCTCCCTGGAACTGCTGATCATCCATTCGTGTCAAGGACCAGTACCACGCCTGTCCAAGGGTGCGTGAGTTACCATAGCAAAGCGGTGATGAAAGACCAGCTCTGATGACACACCCCAGTCCACAGGAATGATTCCTTCCATGCAACAAGCAGGTCTTTGAGTTGTGGCTGCCTGCTGTTTCCTGTCTGAAAATAGGGCATCAGTCAACCACAGATGTAGTAAGTTGGTTTAATGTATTACAGCTCTCCAGGCAGACTTAAAAATAATGGCATCTCATCTAAGTTCTGGCAGACAAGTCTACTGCACAAGGCTTTTCCATCACAGCAGCTAAAAGCAAAGTGCACAAGCAGACAAAATGCAAAAAGTTTTCATCATAAAACAGTTAGCATTAAAACACGGTGTTCGTTAATTCACAGTGTGCCAGTACTGTACACATTGCAATATATGTATCTTGCAAACCAGAAATCTAGCTTATGGAGTAAGGTGCTGTAACTGATTTACCTTTAGCAGTGGTCTCCATTGTGTACAGTCACAAATTCATTACAGTGTCACAGAGGTAAGATGAAAGTGGATAACCTGAATTTTTGAAAGTCACTAGTAGTTTTTGTGCCCAAATTGAAACTCCTTTGAAGGAGCCTGGTTTTCAGAAGCTGCGGAGCATTGTCCTGTTAAAAATCAATCCCTTTTAAGGTGTCTTAGATAGGGCAATGAAAAATAGAGGCACCCAAAATCAATGCTCATTTTTGAAAAATTAGGCTGCCAGAGAAGCAAAGGGAATTACATGACCAAATAAGATCAAATCAAATCTTAGATCATCCTTTTATAATAACATACTTTGTCTGCAGCTGACAGTTGACCTTTGTCCTATGTATTTCTTTTGTTTTCAAAATTGTCATTAACGCTAATTAGACATTTTTGTTTCTTTCCAAAGGCTCAATTTAAGAAGATAGTTTTCGTCAATAACCGGACAACGAGAGCATATAACTCACTCAAAGACTAAGTCAAGCTACAAATATAGAGAGACTGTGGATTTGTATAATTATCTCCTCAGTATCAACCTAGCCACCGTGAACTATGAAGTATCTGACAAAACAGAGACTGCTTTTGTATGCCACTTGGATGACCAGAGGAGAGCTGCTGCTGCTCTCCTGCCTTTACCCTGCATCACACTGTTCTGAGTGTACTTCAAAATATCAATCGCCAAAGATGGTATTGTTAGGCATTCCTAGTGCAAATTTTTTTAAACTTACTGTACTAGCCAGTGTTTCAAACAATAGGCAATTTATACTGGGAGGTTTGAAATTCTGACCTGCAACAAATTCTTTGTAGGTCACTTTTTAAACATCAAATTCTCTAGGGGATAAATTTCAAGTATGATACTCAGGGAATAATGTTTTATTAGCAGCAGTTATAGTCTTCCTTTCATTATGCATGCACAGCACTAAAAATTGATCTGCACTCTGTGTGAAATGGAACTGAATATACAGAAAGATGTTTTACCACATGCATTTTTAAATGCACCCAGAAAGTTAGAAGGGGCGTTTTTTTTAGGGGAGGGGTGTTTGTCTTTGTTTTGGGGTTTTTTCTATTTTTTGGATTCATGTGTTCAGTAGCTCATCAGTCTCTTTTTTGCTTTGAGATCTCAGCAGCAATAGCAATATTGACAAATCAGCAATGCAGATTTATCCCACTTTTCCTCCCCGCTTCCCTTTGGCTGGCACCAGAATTTTTGGTCGTGTTTCAGAAAGAGATTTAAATAGCCTCCATAAGTGTCAGGACCATTGGGCTGAACTAGAATGTGTCACTCATTGCTAATTAGGCTTAAGCACTGATTTTGATTAATGGACAAGTTTGAGAAACATTCAGTTTTTAAAAAAAACTTGTGCGGATAGCTAGAAATGGTAACGAGAGTAGAGATTGGTCCCTTATCTTTATTACTAAGGATTGTTGGTTAGGAGTTCACCTGAATGAGGAAAACATTCAGTGCCCTTTTAAACAAGAACTGTCTCCTAACAGATTTTTCTTAACTTTCTTTAAGCCACATCTGATCTTTAATGTATAAAACTCTATAGGCCAGATTATCAACTGGCATAATTGGTGGCACTCCATTGAAGGCATTGGAGCTTCACTGAATTTATGCTGAGAATCTGGCCTTACCTATTTCTAATATCCTTTTGCCTAGTCATCACCTTCACAGCTCCTTCACTGCCAGGCACAGGAGCTGTTACCATGGCCCTGAGCCACCAAATGATCCCTCAACATTATGGAAACCCTCAGCAGAAACTCTTTTGTGCCACATTGTGGCGAGGTCCGTACTGTCCGTCCCTACGGCACCCCCCCTTCTCTTAGGGTATGTCTACACTACCCTCCTAGTTCGAACTAGGAGGGTAGTGTAGACATACCCCCTGTTACTTCAAAATAATTTCAAAATAACAAGCTTGCTGAGTTGATGCTCACCTTCCTATTTCAAAAATACAGGAGTTATTTTGAAATAACTCTGTAATGTAGACATGCCCTTAGGGATTATGGGAAATAAGGAGACATGTCATAGTGAGGTAAAATGAAAACGTACATAACCAGCACCCAAAGAATGGCAGCTTAGCTGAGGAAGGACTGGAGAAGACCTAGAGTTGACATTGCTGCAATCTAAGTGAGTCTTGGGAGACAGACACTCTGTAAAACAAAGATACCGTGTTAGATGGGTAAACTTTGTAGCTCAAGGGATCAGAAAAGAAATGGGAAGTTATTAAGTACTGAGAGAGAAACTGCAGGGTGCACCCCTTAAAAATAAATGAAAATATACTTTCTAACCCAAGGAAAACCCTCTGCTAAAAGCAAAGTGAAAATGGCTGTTTTACAGAAAGGAAAAATGAACAAGTGGAGAATTCAAATGTGGAATTGAGCTGTTTCTCTCTAAAGCATTTCACTTACTTTCCCCTGTTATCTTGGAATCCTGGGGAATCGCCGTTCGGGGCTCCTCCCGTCCTCCGCACGCCTTGTCTCCACCTGCGGGGGTTGAGAGCACAGCCAGTTCCTGCTCTCCCCCCTCCCCTCCTGGTTCCCAAGCTCGCCCTTTTGGGCTTCCCGGGCGGTGCCCCACCCTCCTGCGCTCACCGCGCCGGGGTGCCCCTCCTGGGTCCTAATGCCCTCCCGCCTGGAGTCCTGCCTGCTGGGGGCCGGGGCCACTCTCCCTGCCTGCGGGCAACAGCGGGCCACCGAGACTCGTCAGGGCTCGGTCCTCGGTCTGCCGTGCCACCACTATGGCCACCTTCGGTCCTCCCCAGCTGTTGGCGCCCGCCGACCAGCTGAGTTGAGTGCGGGGATCGGCTTCCCCGTCACACACATGATCAGAGCAAAGAGTTAATGGGTCATGAATTGTTCCCATTCATTTTAACAGTCTTTACCAGAATTTCAGATCTTACCTTACCTAAGGCTATAACCAAAGAAACCACAGCATAACGGTATACACAAATGAATCTCTGTGGACTAAGGAGCTAAATTCTGCTCTGAGGTGTACGTAGCTGTCGTAGACTTCTAGCAGAGCCACATATGTACACCCACTAGAGAATTTGTCCCTGAAAATTTAACAAAAACCACTGTTTTCTTATCTCAGGTCATTTTTATGTTAGTTGAGGCTTTTTCTTTGCTTAGAATGACTAACATCAAATGAGAGGCTCTTAAAATAATTCTATTTTAAAGGGACATTTACAACAAGTTCTATGCCCAAATATAGGTATCACTAAAAACTCACAAGGGGAAGACGAGCTCATGAATGTAAAAGTGTTTTCACTGTGTGTAATTGTATTTGAGAACAGGTATTTAAAATCTGAATATTTCTCTCCGCTTTTGTGAAACCAAACCCTGCTGCATTGTACTAATGAACAAACAGTAGGAAGTGGCACTGAACATTGTTGTACTTGTGACAGGTTGGATCACAGGGATGCTGAAATACCAGTGCACCTGCCAGCCTTCCCTTTGGGGCATCCCGCCACCAGGTCCTGCTGAGCCAGAATCTCTGGTCTCTCCTAGTGATGGCACAGAGTAGGGGTCACAGCCCATTGCAAAGTAACATAGATACTGAGAGGAGCTCAGCTCTGGGAAGGCTGTCACAGGGACTTGATACAGCCCCCAGGTGCACAGCTCCAATAAGATCAGAACCCCAGATAAATCCATCTTTCTCTCTATAAAGTTTCATACAGAGCAAGCTCATAACTTCTTCATCCCCTTTATCAATGAAAGAGAGAGATTCACAGCTATTGCTTCCCCCCTTTCCCCGCTAGCAGTTACTTACACTGGGTTCTTAGTCAAAAAGTGGTGACTAAATATAAGTGATTTTATTAAATATAAAAAGTAGGATTGATGTCGTTGCAAGTGATAGACCAAACAAAATGGGTTATTAAACAAAATAAAACAAAACCTACCAGCTACATTTAGTACTCAGAGAAACTTGTTATATGCAATTTTTTATCCTAACAGTAGTTCTAATCATCTTTTCTCACGAGATGACTAGCATCCCAACTTGAGCCTGGTCCTCCTCCTTAATGTTCATTCTCAGGTAGTTGTAGCAGACATTATAGATGGTATACGGCTGTGTTTTGGAGTCTGGCCTCTAGGGTTGCCAGGTGTCCAGTTTTGAACTGGACAGTCCAGTATTTGAGCTTGCTAGTCAGGAAACAAATTAAGAAATATAAATGTCCAGTATTTTCTAAAGAAGATGTAATGTAGATTGTGATGTAATGTCAAGTGTGTCCAGTATTTTTGTTGAAACCATCTGGCAGCCCTACTGGCCTCCCCCATTTGGTTTCCCACCTTTATGTCCTTTGTGTTCAGTTGAAACTTTTCCCATCAAAAGTACAGCATCCAAAATGGATTCCAGCATCAGGTGACCAGGCCACATGTCTTGGAAGGATCAACCCTAGTCCAGACTTACAGGAAGAACAAGACTATTCACAGATCGAGTATTACGAATAGCCCTCTTTTAGCATGTCTAGATTAGTAAACAGGTTTACATTTCATATTTCTAATTTCAAATACAGGAATGATACATGCACACAAATTGAAATACACATACAGCGGATTACAAGCTTTCCAATGATACCTTACAAGAATTCTTTTGCATAAAACGTATTTGATTTATGCATATTCATAAGCATGTTTCCATAAAAGTATGAAATACACTGTACTACCACAAAATGCAAAGAGCATAAATGGTGAAAGTGGAGAATGAAAACCAACATAAGTACCACAGAAATAGAAGAGCTAAGACTTGAGAGGGAGACTTTCAAAAGTGCTTAAGATTGGTCTAACCCTGCTCACATTGAACTCAGATGTAATTAATGGTGGTAATATGTTTATTTTATGTTGACAGTGTCCTTTTAAATTATGAGTGTTCGAAATGTATTTAGAACTTGCAAGCATGAAAAGTCAAAGCTGCTGTCATTTGAGAATGATGAATAAGGATGTTTGTGAAGAAATACAGGGACACACCTTATTAGATTTGGAAGGACTCTATTTTTATTGGTAATTGGTGAAATGGACATTTAGCAGCATACATTTACAAGCCAATGAAAAAATATTTCCATTGATAAACAAAATGTATAGATAGGCAAAGTAAGAAAAATTCTGCTTGAGAACTTACTAAAGCCCTACCTTAATGCATATAAAACATGTTGTAATACTAACATTAGCGTGGCTGGGACTCTGTTTAGGTAGCTGTAACTTTTTTGACTCTCAATATCTGCTGTGCTTTAGTGCTGTCTGATTCACCAAAATGTCCCGCAACTGTGGAAAAAAATGCTTAAAACCCATACTTTTGTGCTATTGAAAATTTATTTTGATAAAAATCAATTTCTGCTAAGCCAACTTATTACAGCCTAGCTTCTTCATTACTATGAACTCAAAAACATTTCAACTGGACTTCAAGGGGGAGAAAATGTTAACTGGAGAAATAATAAAGCATTTGCTCAAATGGAAAATCTGCCTTGGGATCGTATTGCTGTTAATGGAAATATTTGCTGTGAGTTAAGGCTTGAAAAATGAGGATTTTTATCTGCCTTTAAGAGGGCAAGTCCATTTTTGTTACTAGACCTTGATAAGGAGAAACAGAATTGCTGTAACAGGGTTGTGCAGTGATGCCATTTAGCTGTTTCTGGTTGTACCAAAGAAAGCTTGTATTAAACTGTGTACAATAGAATGCCTGTTACAGCATTTCTTGCAGATGCCATAGTGATCTGCCCAAACATTTGGCTTTCCTGAGGTTCTCACTAGCCATGCAGAGGTGTTTTCTAATCGGCTGATCACACCAGCAGTATCTGAGCATCTCATCAACTCTAATCAAATTATCTTCATTATGTTCCTATGAAGTTGGGAAAAAGTATTACCCCATTTTACAGGGGGGTAACTGAGTCACTGAGGGTATGTCTACACTACCCTGCTAGTGCGAACCCCGTGCCGCGCGGCTACACGCGGCACGGGCTAGATAGTTCGAACTAGCTAGCTATTCCGAACTATCTGTACGCCTCGTGGAATGAGGTGTACAGATAGTTCGAACTATCTAGCCCGTGCCGCGTGTAGCCGCGCGGCACGGAGTTCGCACTAGCCGGCTTTTAAAAATGGCGGCGCCGGCTTTATGCTAATGAAGCCCGGGAAATTCAAATCCCGGGCTTCATTAGCAAGTTCAGTATGCATACATTACCCCGCTAGTTCGAACTAGCGGGGTAGTGTAGACATACCCAGAGAGACTAAGTGATTTACTAAAGGTCATCCAGCGAGTCTGTGGCAGAGCTGGGAATTGAATTCAGATCTTCTGAGCTGATGCATTAATCAGAAGACCCTCCATTCTCTTTTAGCGGAAATAATTAGTAGCTGATAGTGTTGTGCTAGGACCATGGGATGTTGAGATGAATTCACTGCCAGAGAATGGTTCATTCTTTTCCTTGTTCCACCTGTCTAACTTCCTCTCTCTGCTGACATGGCTGGTAAGTAAGGGGCAGGTCTCGCTTGCTCTCCCTGGCCAATCAGAATTATACATCATATCCAAAATAGAGTTGTTAGGTGACGTTAATAAGAGTTATGCGGGTTTATAATTTTTTTTCAGTTTGGGGTAGAAACGATAAGGTCTCTGTTAAGTTAAACCCAGCCACTAATACTGCACCTATGCAAAGCTCAGTGGGGAAGAAGAGGTACAACCATACTGAGCCCTGAAACTACAGAAGCTTCAGACTTTGCAGCATTTAGATGTGTTTAGCCTGTCTAAAAAGCAGCTTATTAAAGCGGAGGGATTGCTTCGTCTGTTTCTTCAATTACGCTGAGTCTGCATATCTGTGTGTCCAACTGTGTATAATCGCAGCTTTCCCCAAGAACTCAGATTTCTCTGCCCCTTCGCTTGTAGGAC